TTTTAAAAACCGAAAAAAAAAAAATTTTTGAAAAAAAACCCTAAAAAAAACCAAAAAAAAAAAAAGGAAAAAAAAAAAAAAAAAAAATCCTGAATCTTTTTTTTTTCTTCAAAATAAAACTTGTGAAACTTTAAGAAAAACTGCAGATGTGTGTCTGGTGAGGTTTTGGTTAAAACACATTTGTGTTTTATTCAGTGGGTAGAAAATACAGAAGTTTTACTGAAGTAAGAATAAAAATACTTCATTATAAAATTACTCAAGTAAAAGTAGAACATAGTAAAAATACTCCTAAAAATATATTTTCCCAAAAAGTTACTAAAGTAAATGTAACTAGTTGCCATCCAACTCTGAATACAATAAAAACTGAACTAAAACTGAACAATATTTAACTAATAAAAACTAGCAGACACACTAAAAACCAACTAAACTGGTCAGAACTAAATAAAACTAACCTAAAATAAAAAACCTAAAATAAAAAACCCAGAGATGTAATAACCTTGGACCCGTTTCGGCCCGTTTCATTGTTCTGTCAGCTTTGGGACTCGCTGCTCATTGTTCCTGATCTGATCTTCCTGACAGGAAAACATACATTCTGAGGTTCAGGAAGGAATACTGAGACCAGAACCGACAAAGACCGGTCCAAATGTAAAACCTGAAACCCGTCAGCAGCAGAACCTGCAGGTTTCATGGCAAATCTGCATAAAAACCCTGAATATGTCAGAGTTTGAGCAGGAAGTGGCTCCAAAAGCTAGAAGAACAAAGAACTGGAGTCCAAAGACGACAAAAATTTAACACAACACTCATCAGCTTTTTGTTTTTATTCAAATTTGTTCATCTTAAAAAAGAAAACCAACTTTAACAAAAGCTAAAAGTTCACATTTTTCCATTAATAATAATTGTTAAACACAAAATAATCAGAAATCTTTTTTATATGTACAATAAACAGATTATTCAGCCAAACAGGACAAACTGCAGGTAAACTGATGGCTGCACATTCTGACACATTTCAACTGAAGGTAATAAAGGAAGAAAAAAACAATAAAAATTACAAAAAAAAAGTCGTAAACAAACACAAAACATGATCAACATCATTCCTTATTGCTCGGCACCAAGGTTAAAGCCCTGATGTGCCCGCTGACGATCGCCGCGTTTCAATCCTACAACTTCCAAGTAGAAACAGTTCAGCAAGTTTTATACAAATCTGGATATAAAAGGAGATTTTAGAAGCAACCCAGTGAAACCAGTGTTTTATACAACATCACAGCAGAGCTGCTGGGAAGAAAATGCCCTGAAACCTTCAGGTCTCATTCTGCTGATGCTCCTGCGCTGGACAGGAGGAAACCTCGAGTTTGGACCCAACCCAGGTGTCAGAGACAGAGCTGGTCAGAAACGTGGCTGTAAACCTTAAGGCAGGATGATCAAGGCACGAGTTACCAGGAAACTATGATCATAACCGAAAAAACTGCAGATAAACAGCTTGATTTCTGGTTCAACATTGCACACATAAAAAATAAAACAGTTGATAATTATTTAATGATAGTAAAAATAAATCAGATTAATCAGATTGTGCAGTAAACTGAGTGGGACTCATTCAGAAGCCAGTGAACGGTTCTTCCTTCTCTACGTTTTTATCCTGACGCTCTGAAGACCCAACAGGGTTTTTCTGTAAGTTGGGAAAATAAAAGGTGGAAAACAGAGTCAAACTCTATGCTGATGACACTTTAATGTTCATTACTAATCCTGAGATTAGACCCGTTAGATGTTATTATTTACATCCAGAAATGTTGCACATGCACCAACGCTGCAGGACAAAAAGTCCTTTACATGCTGCCTGTAGCTTCGCTGCTGCGGTAAAACAGAATGAAACCTGTGCAGTGCAGACGTCACGCTACAACGGGTCTGTAGCTTTTCTCCGTTTTTAATGACCAGTTTGGTCCCATCTACCACTGGGTGAGTCACGGTACTGGCTAATTCCTGCCAGAGTCTCAGAAGATGCTGAAAATCTTCATGAAGCTCAAGAGGCAGTTTGTTTCAGACACTGAAAGCTCTTCACTTCCTTCCTGCTTCCTTCTGTCTAAAGGAGGAGGAAACATGAAGACGCTACAGGTGAACTGGGACGACCTCATGTGTTGGTACAGACAAAAGCAAGGAATTATGGGATAGAGACACTGAGCGATACCATACCGCAGTTTATTAAAAATGTCCTCCAGACACTTCAATTTGAAAACTTCTCAACTTTTAGTGCGGTGATGAAGTTAATTGGTACAATTGCTAATTGTGGTAAATATTTTTTTTCTTTTTATGTACAGAATCATTTTTTAAATCATTTTTCTATTTCCTTTGACTCGGCCGTGTGTCAGGACAACAAACTGATGCTGCAACCTATTAGATTTGTTTTTGCTTCCTGTTAAATTAGTCAGATTTATGTTGGAACGGTTAATTGGTTGTTGCTGAAATTTAATAAAAAATTTATTTGAAAAAAATTAAAAATAAACTTGGGAATCTTTGTGCCTCTTAGCTTCCAGCCTCAAACTGAAGCTGCGACGGAGTTTTGGGGATTTTTAATTATGAGAATAAAGTCATGAAATCAGCAGAATGAAGATGAGAAATTAAGAGAAAAAAGTGATAAAGTTATCAGGATCTGATGGAAGCAGCTCAGCAGGTCCAGGTGGTTCTTTCCACTGCTGTCCTGCTACCAATAACAACTTGATGCTGATGTGATAAAAGATTAAATATTTTCTAATTTGTAAAATCGATACCAAACGTAACTTTTCAAGATGTCCAACATTCCTCATTTTAAATGTTAATTATTTTTCATGTAGGAGTTTTTATAAGATGTAATTCTGTCAAACAACTTTATTATTGTATTACAACTTTTTTGTGTCGTTATAACTTAATGATTTATGGCTTAATCCTAATATTATGACTTTATTCTCAGAACCATTTTTTGTGCTGGTTTCAACCTGGGAATGTTTTACAGTGCATCCTGCTTTAATAAAACATCAACAAGAACAATTTCAACCAGACTCATTTAAATTACCTGACTTTTTGAAGACTTCAAGACTTTAAAATATCTTGAATTCAGATTGCTGGTAATTGTAGATAACACTTAGGGGAGGGGCAGTTAAAATAAGTTTTAAAATAAAATCTTTATACAGTGAAATTATGATAAGATTTATTTACATCTAGAGAAAAGCGTTCCTGGAGTGTTGAAGGTTTAATCCAGTGTTAGCTCGTTGCTACGCCTTCCTGTTTCCAGAGCTGAGTCAACAGTAAATGATGAATAACAGATTATTTTTCTAGAGAATAAACGTTGTATAAGATAATCCAAATACAGAAAAATCTCTTTCAACCTCTGGTGTCCAAACATTTTGCCAACACTTGGAGGCTGCAAAAGTATTTTAAAACAAACTTCTTGAGCCTTTTTTAAATGTATCTGTTAATTCATAAAGTGAAATTTTAAGTCATTTTAGAGACAAAACATAAAAGGTTTTGCATTATTGCATTATCATAAGACAGTTTCTGACTTTTAAAGTTTGATTGTTTTCCTGTTTGGGCTGAATGCTTCGCATTTAAGTAAAAGTAGATCAATGTTTGTGGTTCTAGTTACTGCAAAGGTAAGACAAATGCAAAAAGGTTGATAATATAAGAGAATCTATTTTTTTGTACCTCATATTTTTATAAGATGTTACATATCTGTAAAAAAAACAAACTTGTTAAAAAACTTGCTCTACAAGATGAAAAAGTGTCCATGCTTGGATTGAGGTTGGGGGCCACAAAATCACTCAGAGGGCTGCAAATGGCCCCTGGGCCGCACTTTGAACACCCCTGTAGAAACCAACAGTTGGTCCTTATTTCCATGAAGAGGCAAAACGGTTCAGAAGGGAAACTAAACAGTATCTCAGAGCCAAAATGGCCGACTCAGTGAGTTTTCCGGCTGTGGAAGATAATGAAGTAAAAAGTTAACAGAAAGGTTCAGAAAACTCCTCTGAGTCTGAACGGTGCGGCAGGACGCAGACGGTCCTTCAGTTTTTGCTCTTCAGCTCAAAGCGGCTGTAAACCTGCTTCGTTTTCAGCTTGTTGTAGTGGTTGACCAGGTCCAGCTTGCTGTGGCCCAGGGTCATCCGCTTCTGGTCCTGGCGGCTCATGTGGCCCGGCGGAGACGTCGGCGGCGGCGGGCACTGCTGGCTCTCTGGCTCTGGCTGAGAGAGTTCTGGCCCGCCCCAGGGCGAGGAGTTCAGCGGGGACGGAGACCGCCGGAAGTTGAAGGTTTCCTTGTCTTTGGAGGAGAAGAGCAGCTTGTCGGACATCTTGTTGTGGAACTGGCTGCTGGGCGTCCTCTGCTTTGGGGGCAGTTTGGGCTCGTTGATGGGCGACGGCGTCTGGATCTTAAGGTTCTGGTTTGTGTTTGGAGAACTTTGAAACAAGGTGGGCTTGTGGTCATACAAACCCAATCCCTGAAATTTGGTGGAAGTGCCACTAATGTTTGCCCGCAAGAGTTCGGCTGAGCTGGGTTTGTTCCACTCGATGCCCGTTGACTGGCCGTAGGTCGGCAGTTGGCGGTCGGTGATGAGGTTGTGACCGGTTCCGCCGTTGGGAGAACCTCGGACTCCCGGGCTCGGGCCTCCCACCCTCAGCCCACCGACTCTCCTCTCTGGGCTTTGCAGAGACGAGCCGACGGGTTCCTTCTTGTCATGACCCTGAGTGACCTTGTAGACGTTGTTGGAGGTCATCCCCGGAGCAACCTTAACGCTGGAAATGCTGTTACTTGATTGGCTGCTGGAGTTTTCAGAGCAACTCCGGTCCCGTTGCCTGCAGGAGGAAAGACAGTCGAGATCAACAAGGAACAGAAACAGAGACGGTACCAGTACCGACCCGGTTCTTTAAAAACTGATACACTACCAGGCCCGTCACAAAAACTCAATTTGCCCAGATGTTATTGTGAAAAACAATAATGTTGTTGTTTTGAGACCATTTTAAATTCATATAATGGTAATAATGCAAGAACACATTCTCAAAGATCAGCAAACTTTAAATTCTAATATTTAAAACTGGAACTGGAAGACAACTTAAATATCCAGAATAAATAAACAAAACAACAGATTTAAATAAAATGAACTCTGAAGTCTCTGGAAACAAAATTATCCATGAAAAAAAAAGGTTTAACTGAGACCAAAACTCCAGACTGAAAACTTTACCATCCGGTTTATGGGAGAAAGAGAGAAAAGAGAAAAACGATAAATCATAAAACAAGTTTAGCTCCGCCCACTTTGGTGGAAACGTTCGAACTTGGTCAGTTAGACTGGCGTAAAGCGACAGCCTCGTGCACAAATAAACTCAGATGAATTAGTTTGTTGACTTTTTGGAGAACTTTGGACCGAATGACCTGGTTTTTACATGACAAACCTGAACTGAGCAAAACGTGCCGTCATTAAACTCAGTCTGGGAACAACAGCTGTAAACGCATCAAATATGAGTCGCAACATTTCACCTCGGTCTTATGGACCCGGTCCTCCTGACATGTTAATGTTTCAACTCCTCTGGTAACAATAAGAAAGTCCAGCTATAACCCTGACAACAGATTCTCGTTCCTGTTGTTACTCTGCAGAACCTGCTGCAGGCAGGGAGTGGCAGTTTGCAGAGAAAATGGAGGAATGAAGTCACAGCTTAGTGCTCGTTTACACTCTTAACTCTGTAATTAAACAGTTAGACCAAATGGATCCTTTATTTCTTTTATGAAATTCTCATTCTGCCTTCTGGCAACTAAAACATGAGAGTTTGATGACATTAAAATACAGTTATGTGAGCAAACAGAAGAGCAGAAAATGAAACTGTTGTGAATAAGGTGGTAAAGGTGCAGCTGGTATGAATTATACTGAGATGAAGCAGGAAGGTTTTCTGTTTAAGGTTTCCTTCCCGTACGGTGTGAATTATCTGTACATTTTTCCTCTTCAGATTGTGGTTGGAATAATGAAACAGAATAAAAAAGCAGATCCCTGCAGATGAATAATAAGACCAGAGTGAAGTTGGTTCCCCTGGCACCTTCTTCAGATCTAATGAAATTGGTGTCAAATGTTTGTGCAGCAAAAACCTTTTCTTTGTGCCGCTATCACTTTAAAGATGTTAATAAAAATGTAAGACAATTGTTTGTGAGGGGTTGACCTTTAAACTTTCATTAATATCTTCAAAGCAAAAGCAGCACAAACAGATATTTTTGCTGCACAATCATAGTCAAGTGAACTGACACCAATTCTGTCTGATATGAAGAAGGTGTGGAGGCTGGTTGACCTTTCATGACCTCTGGAAACATTTATTAATGTCTTTAAAATGACAGCGATTCTTAATGTTTTCCTCCATGATGTATTTGATGTTTCCATGGACCATCCGCCATGTTGGACACGTCGTTCCTACCTGTCGGAGTGCAGATCCAGACCCAGGGGCCCGCCGAGCCCCAGGCCTATCACAGGGGCCTGGAAGGTCTGGTACGACGGATAGTAAGGCATCTCTTCGTCTTCTGGGTTGAATCTGTCGATGATCTGCGAGTCGGCGTACAGGCAGCGAAACTCCCGATCGAAGCTGTCGGTGATGAAACCTGAGAAATGCATCACCATGTTGCTGTGCACCTGCGCCGACAGCCAGGTGAAGCTGCAGGGAGAGACGACAGGAAGTCAGGACGTTTTATCACCTAAAGTCTAACAATCAGGAGGAAAACGGAGGAAAGTTTCCTTAGATAATCTCAGGTAGGAGCGTCTGACTGCTTTGGTAACAAATCAGGGTTGGGTTCGTCCTGGGGTTCGGCGTGAACCCATTAACTCGGGTCCGTTCTATCAGGACTATAAAATTATATGTGCAGGAATGATAAAATGCACTGAGTATCTATCAGTACTTGGTGTAAATGATCTCCCTCCACCTCCAGCTGATAACCAGCGTTAACCGTTTCCTGGCAGAGGATGAGTCACGGCTGTGACTCATCGGTTCGTTCGGCGTCCAGCCGACCTTCATCTGGCTGGAGCAACGACAGCTAATTACATCCAGACACATTCACTCATCACTCAGATTTAAAACCTTCAACCTGGAAATTCGGTTCTGTTACATCAGAATTAATCAAGATATTGGATCTGATGTCATCATAATTCAGCCTGAAAGCATAAAGGTGATTAATGGAAAAGTGATTATGTAACTATAAAACCACATCATCCCTGGTAGATATGAAAAATTTTAAACTGAATGCTGGTTATTAGTAAAATATATTGGAGAATTCCAAAATTTTTTATTGCTTTTATCTTTTCAAATTGTTCATTTGCTTGAATTACAGGGGAAACTTTAGGTTTTTAGCCAGTATAAAAATTCTATAGTTATAATAAGAATAAGTATAACATAACACATCTCTGAATTACAACAGAAAACAAGAATACATATTTTAAGAATTTTGAAATGATTAGCTTTAGATTTATGTTGAATCTTTAATAAAATAAAATGCAATAAAATGGGCATTTTTCTCCAAAGAATATAGTAAAAAAAATAAAATAAAAAATTAGAATCAGTTAATTTCTATTTGAATAAAAAAGTACTGAATTATATGTACTTCAAGTTTTTAAAAAGAACAATCAAAATCTCTAAAATAAATCAGATTAAAAAAAGAAGTAGAGATAGTTAGCTATGTAGCTAACTGCAGGAGCTAGCTAGCAAGCCAGACAGCTTCTTAGCCATGTAGCCATTTCTCACTGTATTCAGAGAATTATGTCCCACTTACAGCTGATCAAATAAATAAATGACGATGCAAAACATCATATTTGGGGAGCTTTTATGTCTATAAAACCTTTTCCAGGCAGTTTTTCCTCTCAGTAGGCGGCATCACTCTCATCTGTTAAACCAACCCTTCAGTTGGTTTCAGAAGCTTTATTTTCTTTATTATTATTAGTCATAGCAAACAGCAGAAATCATTTTTCCTCAGATGTGAATGTGAAAGTTGCTGAACTTGCTGAGCAGGAAAATAAACAGAGAAGTTGAGGAACCTGAGCAGCGACTCGCCGTCCGCCATGACGGTTCCTCAGATGGAACCGCCGCGACCATAAAACTCTTACATCACTTCACTCTGCTGCTTTATCAACAGAGCCATAAACTTATAAAACAAGTTTGGCATAATTATGATAAGACTTCCTGGAACATTTTATACAAGTTTCCAGTTAGCAGATCGGCTAATAAACATGTTGATAAATTATTAATGACGAATCTCGGGATTTTCCTTCGATTCTGCTTGGGATCATAATCTGCATCTTTACCCAGGAAAAAAACATGCAGCAGATATACATCAATCAGGCAAAACATTATGACCACCATTTTCTCGTTAGCGTGGCAGCTGTCCTGGCTTTGACAGGTAAGCAGGAAGTTAATGTTACGTCCTTAAAGTCGATAGCAGCAGAAAAAATGGCATGTAGTCGAAACCGATGTTACTGTAGTTAACTAAAACAAAGAAATAACAAAAAGTTTTAATTGAGGAAACATTTTGTGAAATAAAAACTGTAATTAATGGGGGGAACTACTATATTGTGCATTTATAAAACTAACTAAAACATACTGAAATATAGATAAAATAACCTTTGTTTTTGTTTTTATTAATAAGTTTATTATTAAACATTCAGAACTGGTGCAAAGTTGATGTCTAATTTGATGAGCTGCGGGTCTGACTGCTGCAGGAAGGTGTGGTGCAGATGAGACCTGACTGAAATGTTTTGAACAGTTTGTTGTCTTCATTCCAGAGTCAGCAGAGCAGCTGATCCGACCCAACCCACACCTGCAGCTAGGGAACCGGTTCCTGTACAGAAACGGTTCTGAGTAGTTCAGAATCGTTAAACTGTCTGCTTAACGATTCTGTTCAACGGTTCCCGTAACGTGTGATGTTTCCACGCTCCGTGTTTTGCTTTAGAAAATATCAAAAATGGCGTCACGGCAGAAACGCTGCATGAAATGTTTATATTTCACACATTTCCTCCTTTTATAAGAATAAAAGGAGGAAATGCCTCCAACATCCTCAAACCGCACAGCACGCAACCGATTTGAACGAGTGAGTTTGATCCGTTGCTTAGCAATGGTGGTGAATCTCAAGGGGGTGGAGCTTAGAGCACAGGCATCCTGGTTACTGTATTAATGTTAGAGCCATTCTGTATAAATAATCCACATCTCACGTTAACAGTTACAATCATACTCAATAAATCAGAATATATTTTCTGACCAGGCTCACTTATTGTGTTAAAAACACAAAAACTGTTGATGTGCAGAAAGTTGCATTTCATGTTAAAATGTTGGCAGAGGGATTTTTATTGATTAAGCAAGTTTTTATTTAGTTTGAAACAAAACATGGTGCATATTTTGAATTAAGAAGTTTATTTCCTAACTCAATGAGAATCGATAAAGAACCAATAAATTCTCATCAGTTCCTGTCCCGACCTGCAGCACCACAGATTCGTCGCCTTCAAACTCCAAGCAAACTTTCTGCTCCCTCATAGTGACGGCCTGGGCTTTTACAAGCTGTGGCAGGAGTTATTATTACACCATCAAGTACATGCAGTAATGATCAACACTTCCTCTGAGCTGATCTGTGACAACAGCTTGGTAAAAACAAAGTCTCAGCTTCACGGCTATTTTACACTCAGACGCCCTCGGCATCGCTTCAGGGGACATCGCTACGCACCGAGCCCAGTTTTCACTCTAAAACTGAACCCGTTTCCTCACCGGGTCGCACAGTCTGTCCATGACAGGAAGTCAAGTCCTCACGATGTGAGCAGGAAAGTCTCTGCACACAACAAAAGAGACAATAACACAGTTTGGACGGACGCCTGGAGACAATGGAGCTCAGTCTGAGCTGAGGATGATGAGTAACTGACAGCAGAGCCGACACCACGGTTCTGCCTGGGAACATTTACATCACACAACGGCTCCTTTTAGAACAACAACTTCACGCAGAAACTTCATCTGAACCAAAAATACGCCACCGTCCAGGATTGCGAGCGTCTTCAGAGAGCTTTATGGCGTTTTATGCATAATGAGCTCAATGTGAAAGAAGCTCTGACTGAAAATGAAAAATCCAAACCGAGAAACGTTTCCCACAAACATTAGCTTATTTTGTGGAAAACATGTAAGATCCGAGTTGCGTCACATATCAGCATCTGTGGGAATCTGGACTATGACTTCTCCCTCTTTGCTTTTAGCATAATTTAAACTGAAGGTTTGTATCCAGACCGTCGGAAAGGGAAAAAGTTTCAGCGCTTACGGTGCAGAACCTGCTGCAGGCAGGGACTGCCAGACGAATTAAGTCACAGTTTAGTCACGTCCAACGCTGCTCTCGAGGTAATTTTAGCTGAACTATCAGCACAGATTTTGTCAGCTAACGTGTTTAAACAAACTGGATTTTACAGGAGAGGAACACGACCTCGTTACGCTTCAACCAGCTAAAATTATCAACCTGGTTTGAATCCTTTAGCTTAACTTTCTAGCAACTAAAACCTGAAAATGTCTGATCGTGGACACATTTATATCCGGTTCATGTCTGTGAGCAACAGAAGAGGATATCAGTTGCATGAAGGCTGGTTGCTAATGCTAGCTGACATGTTTTATTTTAAGGCTGTCATAAAATGAACTTGTTCATATTAGGAATGTGAACTTGGTTCAGAATATTTAGGTGTGGACCTATGAACATGAACTAATTCAGTTTTAGTAACTGAACTCTGAGTGGGTTCTTGTTAAGTCTGGATCGGGACAAGATGGCTGCAGCTTTACCAGGTCACAACAACGACACTGAAGGTTGTTTTAGTTCATTTCATCTGTTTGCTTCATTTAAAGCAGAAACATTTCAACCCTCAGATGTTCAGTTTCACTCAGAGACGATCAGGAGGGGAAAACCGAGAGCTTAAACGGGATGACCTTTGCCCTCTTTTATCTCCGGCTGTAATTACAGGTGATACTGGGATATTTCTGGAACCGTTTTCACCACCAGCAGCTTCAGGAGAACAGCTCTGCTGCACAACGTCGGCTTTATCAGCCTCGCCACAAGAATTTGCAAACTCATATGAGGCTTCCTGTGACAGTGCTGCTTATCAGCGAGATGCAAAGCAGACGTCAGGCTGCAGGACGGAGCAGCTCCAGACAAACTTTCCTGTTTTCCTGCTAAAAATGGAGGGCTGACTGATAACAGGTGTGATTGTTCCTAAATCTCATGTTTATTTGTTGCCATTGAGACTAAAGGCTTCTGGACAAGTTTATTGGTGTAAACAGAGCAGCTGACTCTGCCGTCTCACCTGTAGGAGCCGGCGATGACCTCCTCACAGTCGATGATCATGAACTTCTCCAGGACCTGACCGGTGAACTTCTTCCCGCCTCTGGTGCAGTACGTGTCGCCGCAGACGCTGCGAACCCGCATGTTCTGCACAAACCAACACACAGACGTAAAATAATCGCTCTCAGCGTAAAAACAGGACAACAAGATCAACCAGAGAGGCTGCGTTTATGGAGTTTGTAAAGAAAGAAGCAGAGAACTGGAATGATCTGCATGAAGACCACTGAACTTCACTGGAATAGTGCAGCACACTAGGATCAGGGGTGTGGATGATTTATGGTCATCATTAGTTTTTTCAGAATAAACAGAACCAGAATAACTAAAAAATTTTGTTGGAAAATCTTCCGCTTTTCTCCAGCAAATTTTTCATTTAGCGCTTTAGTGTTTTTGCCAACTTTGACGACGCTTAGCTTCTCCTAATTTATTTATTTCTTCCAGATATAATCTAAAGCACCAATTTACTTGGCTGTTAGCAACCAAGTTAGCAAAACCCAACAACCATAATACTGAGACCAGGAGTGAAAAGCCTGCTCCAAAAGAATCACTTCCTGAATGCAGCTGTGTTTGACAAATCTGGGTTCAGGAGAACGGTCGTAACCACCAGGCGCCGACCCGTTTCACTTACATTCAGGTGAGAGTTCTGAATGTCCAGCGCCACACACATGTCCGTGAAGTAGCTCAGGTTCTTCTCGTCCAGCAGGATGTAGACGGGGACTCGCCGCTTGTTGGACGCCTCCATCAGGTCACACATCAGATCCACGTCGGTGAAGATGTCCATCACCACGGCGATGACCTGTAGAGACAGCGGGAGTCAGCCGTGGTTTCGGATGGTACCGGTCCTGATCCGGACCTCAGAGGTTTCCTTCACAGAAAACTCCAGAGAGAGATTTACTTTCAACTTCAGATGATTTTTACTCAGTTTCAGACAAAAAACTGAGCAGAGGAATGTTTTAATGTTGAGGTGGAGTATTATCACTCTCATTATTACAATAATAATAATAATAATAATAATATCAGCACAATGTTTGGGGAAATCCATCTTATTAACTGTAAAGCACGGTGGTGGAGGGTTGATGATCTGGATCTCCTCTGACAGATGAATCTTGGTCCAAACTGGGTAAATATTCAACTTCCTGCTTTCATGACCCAAATTATTCCATCTTTTACAACAAATCTTCCATCAGATTAAAAAAAAAACGTTTTATTCTGTAAAGAGACGAGAATCTGAATCAGCAGGTTTCTAACTTTCTTACTCACCAAACTGAATATCAGCAGAGCGTTTATACTCTAAACTCATTCTACAAATGAAGAGCATGAAGGAAACAGAAAGCTGCAGCCAGTGTTTCATAAGAACCCTGACATGTTTATCGTTTATGAGCTCCTAAAATCAAGGGAAATATATTTGGATATTACGAAGGAACATGTTGTTATAACCTGATGAGCCGGTTTCTGGGCCCCCAGGGGCCAAACTGCTCCGCTGTGGGGCCTCACAGTTTCCATCAAGCACAGCTCGGATGACAGCGTGACCAAACCCAGTCAGCAACCAGTCAACCAGTCAGCAACCAGTCAACCCAGAACCACAATCAGTTCCTCTGAGAAACGACCAACCAGGAGATTATCGATCGTTTCTGATCACCTGGAGGCAGAAGATTTATTCTCCCTTCCATCAGAGTCAGGAGGCTGAATACTTCACTTCCTGGAGGATTTTCCTCCTTTACCCCTCCACTCCCACCTCTGCTTTGTTATTTCCTTCAGACCCAGAAAACAAAGAGAGAGGAAACGGGCCTGAAGCGGCCAGAGAGCCAACAGGAACCAACAAAACCAAAAAGATTCAACGACCAAACATCCACTGTCTCCACCGTTAATCTACAGCTTTAAACCTTTTGGTAAATATTCTTACACATTTTCAGAGACAAAACCTCATGAGAAGCACAAATAGTTTCATTTTTAACTCAGTAATATTTTATTTTACCCATTTTTTCCCCACTGATTATTGGTGATTGGTCTCATATGTAAAACAATCGATATCGATTTTCATCATGGGGCTGGTCATGTGACAGGGATGCAGCAAAGGATTGTGGGATGTTTCACTGAAGCAGAGACATTTTTATGATGTTAAAATGGAAGGTAAATATTAATATTAGTGGATAACCTTATAAATTACATAAACTCTATAAATTCACCATATTAATAAAAACTGGTTTGTTTTATGAGTTGATTCTTTAAAAACAACTGAAGTTTCTGCTGCATTTAATGTAGAAACAAAAAGTGACATCTCCAAACTTTATGTTCCATTTAAAGAGGTTAATATGAGTTTCTAATCATTCTATAAAACAATTTATGAGATTTATCAACTTATTTTGTTCAGTGAACTGCAGAAGGAAAATTTGTCATGAAAACAAATAATCCACCTCTTTATTTCCGAGCAGCAGTGAATGCAACACGATTTCAAGCATAAAGGAGGTGAAAATCTTTAACCATTTGATTCTTTTCTGCTTTAAGTTTTAACAGGGAAACATTGTTATGTTTTAACTCTGCAGACAGAAGCAACAGAAATCTGTTTGGTGATAAAATCCTCCATCAGCCAATCAAAAGCAGCTTGAGGCGTCAGGAAAGCGTCAAACCAATCCAGGTTTTGTGTTTAAGCTCTTCTACAGTCGTTGAATGAAGCCAGGTTCCTACTGCAGCTGAATGTCTCAGAAGAGGTCAAAGTTCATTTATTGTCTGAAAAAGCAGCGAAGATGCCCAGTTTGAAGGATTTCTGCACATGAACCTCCTTTGTTTACGGATGCAGGAAGAGGAAGTGACTCACACGCAGCGCGTGCTGCAGCGTCTGCAAGCGGAGCAGCTGACCAGGCTGATCTGGGACCAGCTCACAGCTCCAGACAGAGACCAGTCAGGGAGGTCAAAGGTCACACAGAAACACGACCTGAACACCATGGAGTCACTGGTGTCTGACTCAGGTTCTGGGTTTACTAATACAGCTTTAACCTGCAAGTTCAACCCGTAAAACCAGCTGCTGGGATCCACAGACACACAAGGCGGCTGCAAACGGAGAAACTAGCTTCAGAAACATGACCTTTGACCTGCAGAAGGAACTTGAGACGCAGGAAAACAACAGAAATGGATTTCAAAGCACAAATTAGCCTTAAAATCCTTCTGGTAGTTTATAAAACACAAAACTCATTAAATATCTGCTGCTGTTGTATCAACCTTCCAGAACACTTTGATCAAACACGGAGAAGTGGAGAAGTTGCATTCAGCTTCTAAGCATCACAGATCTGGAACAAACTTCTGTAAAACTGCAAACAAGCTGAAACACTGAGTTCCTTTAAATCTGGACTAAAGACCAGCTGGTTAGAGCTGCTTTTGATTCATAATCAATGGAACATTGAACAACATTTTTTATGAGCATTGATGATTTTTTGATGGTGGTATTTGACGAAATGTAAAGTTTGTTTTTAAATTGGTGACTGTTTTTATTTTTGTGTTTTTATAACAAAAAGCACTTTGAAGTGTCTTGTTACTGAAATGTGAGACACAAATAAACTTAATTGATTAAAACAAAGAAAACCTTCAAAAATGCAAGAAAACTGAAAAGATCTAAAATAAAATAAAGCTATTTCAGACAAAACAAGCTGAAAATGTTTTAAAAAGCCACCAAAGATGCAGAAACCAACATCAAGTTCAACCTCTTGCATGTTTCTCCAGGTCAGTTTGGACTGAGGTCATTGATCCAGGCTCAGCTGCTGGCCTCTGGTTCAGGACCCAATAAGAGCTGAACCAACGTGACAACAGGTGGGGGCAGGGCCAGCCCGGGCCTGTCGGCTCTGGAGACGAATTAACGCAGCCAGCTGGAGGAAACACAGCTGCAGAGTTTCCTCTGGCAGCATGTCTACCTGTGCCGTGATGTCATCAGACCGGAGAGCTTATCTAGAAGAGCCGCTCTACATAAACTCTATATTTGCAGCTCTGCGGCCGTCAGAGACTCTGGACGCAACAGGACTGAAACCATCTGTGACCCGCTGGTCTGCAAACATAACACTGCACAAACACAGCATTTTGGGCTGAGCAACAGCCTCAGAGAGAAGGGGGAACATTTGAATTGGAAATGAAGAGAGTCTGTTTTCACTGGAAGAGTGTAGACTGGTTCTGGTTCTGGTTCTAACCTGGGTCAGGAAATCTGCCCACCTGAAGCTGAATCCATCATCAGATTAGATTAAACTATGGGTCACTAATCAGAGATAATCTCTCAGATCTGGAGCTGATTAAATTATTGATCCACTTTTATTTCACGGCATCATCAGATATGGAGGAACAATACTGACATAATTAAAGATAAAAGCAGAAATATGGATGTTTTGGTTTTCAAAACATCCATATTTTCCTTTAAACGCATGTTTAAGGAAAACACAAGAAAATATGTAAACATTTCTTGGTGAAATGTAAAAAGATGTCTTGATAAAAAGAAAATACAAAATACATACATTTCTGCATTTATCTATATATCTGTATGCCACTGTTTAAATTATGGACAGGATTAAACGAGTATTTGCTCCTCCTGCTTTTCAAACAGAAAAGTGGTTTAAGCTAATTATTTTGTTCTTGGTTATGCGTGGACATATTTTCTGTGTCATACTGATGACTTATTGCTTTTAAAAACCTGTTTGAAATTGAAAAAAATAAATGAAATTGATTTATTTAATGCTGTTATTGATAATATGCTGTGTTTTTGTAACTAACTGTTTTATGGATAAGGGATCTCAATAGGGTTCTGTCCACAGATAGGAAGAGAACCCAAAACTTTACTCAAATATCAGCAGAACTACTTCAACATATGTTTTACTCAAGTAAAACTTAAAAGTAGCATCCAAGAAATGACTCCAGTAAGAGTAAAAAAGTATTTGGTAAAAAGTACTCAAGTACTGAGTAATTGATCAAATTATCCATCATTTAAAAATTACATTATCAGATGGACCAATATATAAAGTTTAGTGTAAAATTTAGTATTTTAAGGACAAAATGACAATAATTCATATAAGTAACAGAAAACAACAAAATTAGGCAAAAGCCTTAAAACTTATGAAACTTTAATAAAAACGGCAGGTGCCTGGTGACTTAAGTAAAAGTAAAAAGTAGTAAAAATACTCCTGAAAGAACATTTCTTCCAAAAAGTTACTCGAGTACATTTAACTGAGTAAATGTAACTAGTTACAACCAAATTAAGCCGGACCTCCTCACCTTCTTGGCCTTGTTGATCATGGACCGGATCAGGTCCTTGATGTTGTGAGTTTTGTCCCTCTGGAAGTAGATCTGGGTCTCCGACGGTCCGAACCGCACCGGGGTCTCGGGCCAGCCCAGCTCCAGCATCGGCGGCTCGTCGTCGGACATCATGGGGAAGTAAGTCCCGGAGGTCAGCTCGGACACGGCGTCCGCGTCCCCGTCGTCCCGGTCGCCGCTGTCGGGGTCGGAGGTCTTGCTGGCGGCATGCTGGCTGATGTAGCGGATCTCCAGCGGCGACAGGAAGTTGAGCTCCCGCTCCTCGGCCAGGACCCGCCGGTACTCCTTCTCCCCGTGCTCCAGCAGCGCGTCCGTGGCCAGCCGCGCCGCCTCGTTGTGGCTCAGCTCCAGCTTGGAGCCCTCCCTCCACGGGTTCTTCACCTCCTCCAGCCGGGAAGCGAGCTTCCCCAGCGGCTTCCTGCCGCCGGTGGCCGGCCGCAGGCCCTCGGAGCTGATCATGGTGCTGCCGGACTGGGAGACTATCGACCTGGAACCTGGAACTAGTCGCTGCTGCGCTGGGAGTCCTGAAGCATCGCCGTTATTTTTAAAGCAGAAAGCGGATTAAATCTGATCAATAATCCGCACCGACCTGCCTCCAGATTAAAGAGAGTAAATGACAGTTTGGTTCTGTTCAGGGCGCTGAAATGGTCCCGGCTTCTCTGGTTCCCGGCCCTGTCCGTCAGGATGTCGCCTCTCCGAGCCGCAGCCGCCTCTTCTGCGCGGTGTTGTGTTGCAGCAGCCGGGGGTCAGGTGTGTGTCTTCTGCTCACCTGTTGCAGTCTGTCCTCTCATTGGCTGCTCCGCCATCAGGCTCCTCCCCCTCCGGCCGTTACCAAGCCAACCAGCTCACAACAAGTAGCCCACGTCTGGTCAGAGATTTCAAAATAAAGCTGCTAGTGATTAAAAAAAAAAATAAAATAAACAAAAAGTAAAAGCCTAATGGGTGAAAATGAAGCAAATACCGAAGAAAATGCTAATTTTACTTCATGCAAACTTTCAAAGTGTTTTTATTTCTCGCCATTCCCAGTTTATTTGAATTTAAATGTTCAAATGAACCCGAGGTAATCTAAAGAGTTTGACATATTTTTACTCAATTATAAGTCAAAAGAAGTAGTCCAAGAAATTACTCAAATAACATCTGACTTAATATTTAAAAATTACGTAATCACACTGAAAACATTTTAAATTAAGTTTGAATAAATAATAAAACAATATAAATAAAAACATATTCACAAGAAGAAGTAATTTTCTAAATATTTTTATCAACATATTAATTATTAAACTAATCCCACAGCAGGTAATTAGTATACAGCAGGTGATAAAACAGGGTAAAGTACTCCCTGTGATTAATTCATATAGTTTACTGTATTATCTTGATCCCCAAATGGCTCATCAGAAAATAATTAATCAGAACAACAAAGCTGGTGTTGAAACAAGATGTCTCACTCTGATTTAAACTGTTGGTCTGTTTCTGGTGATTTTATGGTAAAAACATGTTTATTCTTTATTCTGTGAAGCTGCTCTCAGTGGCGACAGGATCCACAAATATTATTCAACAAAAGTAAAAAGTATGGTGTAGTTAAATTGCTGTCCTTAATTCCAAAAAAATAAATAAATAAATAAAAAAAAATACTCAAGTATGTGTAACTGAGTAAATGTAACGAGTTACACCTTGGGTAGAGTATTCTTATTAGATGTAATTTTGTTGTGTTATGTCATATTTTAGTTAATTTCACACATTTTCATCAGCCTGTTTCTGGTTTTGCAGGTTTTTATTCTTATTTTGTCATCCAGAGGGAATAGTTGGTTGTTTATTAGTTATTTAACATAACTTTGTAGTGAATAGTGTAATTTTGAGTTAAGTTTTCCTCTTCATGTCACTTTGTTTAGTCTTTTAATGCATTCAACCATCAGTTTGAGCTACAGAAAGCAGAGCCAATGATATATGACTCAAACCTTTTGTGGTGTCATCTTTTTGTTTTGGGGTTTTGTGTGGAAATCCTCTTACTACCTGCTGTACATCTCAGTAGAAAACCACAAATAGATCTGTTTGTGATGTTTCTTTGTGTTTCTACTACAACTATGGCACATATATTAATATGCTGTATAGCTAAATAATCACAGTGATGCTTTTCAGTTGTCATCTGACACCAGAACTGTGCCAGAACCAAATTCTTCCATTTTCATTGGAAGCGATACCAGAAGACTCAACCCTTCTCTGGAATGAAAGATGGCATTCCTTCTGCTGAAATTTCCGTAGATGCGTCAGCCATTGATGAAGACATGTTCATCTTCTTCCTCTTGGCAGCAGAACCCCCCCTGAGGTTACAGTGTCCATAATCGGGCCTGAACATCCGGGATCGGGTCAGGTGTGACGGTGTGTTTACCAGCAGGGAGGTGCAGGTGACCAAATCAAACACCTCTCACTGACATCATCCTCCCTGCTCTGTTTGAATAGGTAAAGCAGAGTGTGATTGTCCGGGTCACGAGTCAGAACGGCTGGGCGTGTTAGCTGATGCTGTGAGGTCCGGCTGGGAAACTGGGCCAGTCAGAAGCTGGTTATACTGGAACCAACATGGATCCTCATTCAATCAGTTTGAGTTTCCTTCTCTGACGGATGAAATGGGATTTTCCTCATACTACTTATTCAGGATCTGCTCTTACTGAAATGTAAAATGTGTTTTTCTAAACATTTTAATGATCCTTCAGGTTCAGAATAAACTTTATTGTTTATATTTTGACCAATTAAACAATCATAAACATCAGCGGCCATAACTCCATCTGACTGCATCAGTTTGGTCCAGTCTTCTTTTCAATGTTGCAGACTTTTGTTTCAGCTCACCTGAAGGTCCTTCCACAATCAGGTTGAGGTTTGAACTTTGACTAGACCTTTGCTTTAACTCATTCTTGTCTTTGTCTCCACCTCCACTCATTAATGCTTATATTGATGGTTCTGTTCCTCATGGTTCTGTCCATCATGGTTCTGTTCCTCATGGTTCTGTCCATCATGGTTCTGTCCATCTCAGTTCCGGTCCTCATGGTTCTTTCTGTCTTAGACAACCAGCAGGTTTTACTGGAGGTTTATTTCTGGAACCAGTGAGGATCGTCACAGCTTTCATCTCCATCCAGTCTGTAAAAACCAAGATGGCGGACCTGGGATTGGAACCACCCAGGACTTCCTCCCTGTTCGTCTTGGTCACATGCTAGAGGAGAGTCAGTCGCCATGACAATGGAAACGGGTCGAAGGCGTTAATGTTCTGATGGAACCAGTAAGAGAACCCCAACGGCATGATGGGAAACGCCCAAGGCCGAGCAACGACTGGTTTCTGCTCCGGACCCAGCAGAGGTGGACTGGATGAACTGGTTCCCAGTCACTGAAACAGAGATGAGGATTAAATCCACCTGACTGCCTGACTGAGAGGCACAAAGGCAGAGATTAGCTTCAGATTGGTTTCAGATTAGCTTCAGATTAGCTTCAGATTAGCTTCAGGTTCAGCTGGAAAACATGCAGGAAAACATCCATCCGTCCATCCATCATTCCTAATATTAGGCATCAGTTGCTTTTCTCCATATTGATATTTTATGATTATAGATATGGATATAAAGTCATCCTCTCTGTATGTGAGCAGAAACCAACCAGCAGAGCTAAAACCTGATTTATGGATGGTTTTCATTTCATCCAACTGAACCCGGTGAATTTAACTCCACATGTTGGCGTTTGTCCATTTCCTTCTTCAGTCCTTCTGCCTTATTAAAACAGTAAATCTGATTTTTGTTTTTACCATTTTCAGGATTATTCAGTTAAAGTTGAATGTGATCAGCTCAGAAAAAGAGATTAAAATATTTTAGCAACGTTTATTTAATCGTCATGGTTACAGACGAAATTAGAGAAGTTTAGTTGAAAACATGTATTCCTCAAATTTAGATTCTTTCTGAATAAATGGTTTAAACTAGAAGATTATGAGATTTTACTGAAATAAAGTTAAAATATCTGAAGACTTTTACCTCATCTTTACTGGAGATGCTCCAGATCAGTATTAATATTTTTATTGGAAAGAATTCAGTTAGTAACAAAGATCCCCATTCGTGAGGGCAGATCTGTTCAGTCTAACTCTAGACTTTATTATTTATTTTTCATTATGTTTATAATTCCTAATTGCACTTTGGTCATTTGAAAGAAGGTTGTTACAGTTTATTTTTCCATGTTTGACCAAGGTAGTCGACCTATTGTTTTAATTTATTTTACATTGGCTTAAAAAATAAAAGTTGTTTTTACATGTTTGACCAAGCTGCTGAAGCTATTCTTGTATTTAAGTGAGCTGTACTGGAGCAGAGTTATCAAATGAGTTCGTAATTCAGCACATTTATGTCTGTGTTTAAGGAACAGAAACGTTTTAAATAAATTCAGCTGTTTCTCTGTATCGGATCTGCTGATAATAAACCTCAGAAATTGGAAGTACAATCTAATGCATCCCTGATCTTTACTCGTGTGTTTGTACTGTGTTTGGATTTGCATAATAGTCATAAACAGTAAGAAGAGCAACATGAAGCACCAGCAGCGTTTATCCGCCTTTCATCCAGCAGCCCAGTTATTTTAGGCAGCAGAACTTGAGCTGCCATAATAAACTCGATGATGGACGTGTTGATGATCCTTGCTGCGGCTCAGAGCTTTGTGAGGAGCGGCCGCGTCCCGGAGAACCGGTCCGACCCGCTGGCTGAGAAAACACTGACACATCACTTTTCAGTCATTAGTTCAAATTTATCCACGTTTATTTATGTAACCAGCAGTTACCAGGAAATTTACCAGCCGGTTCCTGACAGAAACAAAAACATTCAGTTCAAATCTGAAAGTTTAATCTAATCTAACTATGATGAAAATGATTCATTATGAATAAGTTCAGCTAATATATGCTAATTAAAGCCAATCAGAGACAGTAATTGTTCTGAACACGCCCAGGACATTGAGCAGCACTGAATAATAGATTTAAACTATTGTTGAAAGTTATGACAGCATCACTTCACATATTATCCTCTTTCATACACTGACTGTGGAGAAACTCTTATAAAACCAACATAAAACCTGTTTATATGCATCAGAAGGAAACAATGTGACTCAGAGCTGCATCCGATTATTTTCATCCCAGTAGTTAAATATTTATTAAATTACATTGATTTAGTACAATAAACTGCTTCTAACAGAAACACTTTGAATTAAAGAAAGAAACGAAATAAGAAAATAAAGTTTGTTTAATAAAACTAAAGGTCAAATATTAACAACTGCTCTTCAATTAGAGGGATTCATGTGTGGAATAATGAAACTGTGTTTTTCACTGTAAATAAAAACTAAATTATAAAAATCAATTGCTAAACAAATACAATAAGGTTAGATTATGATTGTTTACTTCCTTTTATGAGTTTGTCTCATTGGAGATTTGTTATAGAAAAATATACAGGAACAAATGGACAGTTTTGATTTCGATAGTATTCCATGTATGAAAAAGTTAATAAGTGTATATACCGACCTTCCAGACTTACTCCAAGTTTTTCCTGGACCTGGAAAACTTTGCAGTCATGAATTTAAATTACTTGTTGATGATGGTTGATGATAACTTTAGAAAACAAACCTTAACATCCACGTTTTATGTCTGTGATTCCGTTAGAAAGTTTGTGACGCTTCTGAGCTGCTTTCAGTTATTCTCCTTTATTCTTCTTTATTCTCCCGTCACTTCATCTAGAAATCAAAACTGCAGGATTTTCCTGCGTCAGCACATTTTTACTCTGCAGAACCAGCTGCAGGCAAACCAGGCAGGAACAGGAGAGACATTCAGCTGAGAACCAGAGAGAAATTATTTGATTTGTGCATCTGTGCAGAAACCACAGTCATTTTATACTCAACACTTCCCCCCCTCAC